TTTTCGTATGAAATTAATACGGAAAATTTAAACCAATTTGTCAATGAATATGGAGATTATGGTTTAGGAGATAGGCAAAATATTCAAACGTCTCCACCACAACATTTCTCCCACGAGTCCCACCAATCATCAAGTTCAACTATGCCACCTCCATCGCAACCAACATCTCAACCTTCATCTCAAGGTAATTTCTAATTAAATTTTTATTGTTATGAATATTTAAAAAAACTATTATTAATGATTATAAAGTTAGTTTAGTTTCCAATTTTCTATGATTTACAATTAGTTAATTACCATGAAAAATGCGTTTAAATAAGTATAATTAAAATATTTAAAATTTAAAAGCTTATTTTCATGAATAGCATTTAAAAATTAATTTTAATAATTTGATTTATGAAAGGTGGTGGCGGTGAAAGTAGAGGTCGAGCACATTTTTCTTGGGTGTGGAAACATTTTGAACGAGTTGAGGTCACACCCCCGGGATGGCAACCTGGTCAACCAAAGAGGTTCACGTGTACATGCCTAGTTTGCAAGGCGCTAGGTGCAAATGTCAAGTCATATAATTGGAAAACGGGAGATGGAACCGGAACCTTGAGTCGGCATTTGCAAAATAAACACGACTTGTTCGAAAATGGCCCCCGTCCTTCGGGGGGTGGCGTCCAAACACAATTGGGTGGATACATGAACCAACCCGGCGGAGGTACACCTTTCATTTATAATAAAGATAGAATGATTGATGAAATGAGTACTTTAGTTATTGCTAATGAATACCCTTTTAGTTACGGTGAAAATGCAAACGTTGAGCATTTTAATAAAGTTGCATTACAACCTGCATTTACTCGTGTCCCCCGAAATACCCTAAGACGTTATACACAAACTTCTTATTATAAGTATAGGAGTGGTTTGATTGAATTATGTCGTACTTTTGATGGTCGTGTTAGTTTTACAAGTGATACATGGACTTCTAGTTTTGGCGAACCTTTTCTTTGCATTACTGCTCATTGGGTGGATGATGATTGGTTTATTCAAAAACGTATACTATGTTTTCAAGCTATGGAAGAAAGGCATACCGGTTTTAACATCAAAGTTCGTATTTTGGATTGTTTAAAAGAATTTCACTTGAATAATAAAGTTTTTTCTTTGTCTCTTGATAATGCAACTGCAAACACAAAGTGTATTGACTATTTGAAAAATGACTCCGAGTTGAATTTGTTGTTGGGTGGTAGTCTCTTGCATGTTAGATGTTGTGCTCATATTTTGAATTTGTCTGTTCAAGAGGGTCTCGCTGAGTTGCAACCATTGCTAAACCCAATTAGAACAGTTATAAAATGGATTAGGATTACTCAGTCAGTTAGAAGAAAGTACATAGCTATGTGTAAAGAGAGAGGTCTTAAGAAAAGACAATGGTCTATTGATACCCCTACCCGTTGGAATTCTACTTTCAAGTTGTTGAGTGATGCTATAAAGTATCGTGATATTTTGACCCAACTTTACAATGAGACTCGTGTTGATCCTACTGAGTTAATAACCGAAAGTCATTAGACTAATGCTTCTTTTGTTCGTGATGTTTTAAATTCTTTTGATAGTGCAACTCATATTTTCTCTTATATTTATGAGCCTAACGTTCATTTAGTCATAATTGAGTGTGTTAAAGTTGTTCACACCATCGAAGAGCATATGAAGATTGATGGACTTCGTCCCGTTCTTGATAGCATGAAACGTAAGTGGCATACTTATTTTAGTGAATTTCCAATCATTTATGGAATTGCTGCTATTCTTGACCCCGGTGTCAAAGCTGAAGGTTTGGAAAATCTTTTAGAATTTTATTATACAAGTTTAAGTATCGATTATGATGTTAGTGAATATATTAACAAATGCAAATCTGTTTTGGGAGACCTTTATGATCATTATGCATCTATTTATGGTTTTGATTTGGCAACACCAACTACTACTAGCACTTCCGATTCTAGATTTGGTTTTCTTGATAAAGTTATGAAAAAAAACACAAAGCATCTACATCATTCTCATCATCATCTTCTTCAACACTTGCTATTAATGATTATTTGTCATATCAACATGAGACCAACAACAACTTTCAAATTATAAAATGGTGGCAAGAACATAAAAAAAGTTTTCCTATATTGGCGAGAATTGCAAAAGATATACTTGCAGTTCCCGCTTCATCTGTTGCTTCCGAGTCTGCTTTTAGTGCAGGTAGAAGAGTGTTAGATGAAAAAAGATCTCGCTTAACTCCGGAAAGCATTCAAATTTGTGTTTGTAAGAAAGATTGGGATCAAGCTGAAAGAAGAACTCAAGGTTTAAAGGAAGACGAAGACGATGAAGATGATCCTGTGATGATATTGGAGTCGTCAACGGATGATGCAGCTTCCGGGGATGATGATGCAACAAACATGGGTGGCTAGAAAAGTCTAAATCAGGTACGCTAAGAACTACGTGGGCTTTGATTCTTTCGGGATACGTAGGCAACTTATTTTTCGAAAATTACAATTTAATTGCAAAATTAAATTTTAGTTTTCTAAAGATAGGTCCAAGCCCCCCCCCCCAAATTTCAAAGAAGTACAATATAAGAACTACGCTGGCTTTGATTCCTTATTTTATAATATAAGGATACGTAGGCATCTTAATTAAGAGCAAGCCATCAAATTTTTAATTTTGTAAAAATTAAAACACCACACAACCCACCCGACCCTAACCCACGAACCCACCCGACCCTAACCCACAAACCCACCCGACCCTAACCCACCTAACCCACAAACCCACCCGACCCTAACCCACTAACCCACCCGACCCTAACCCACCTAACCCACAAACCCACCCGACCCTAACCCACTAACCCACCCTTCGACCCACCCTAACTCACTAACCCACCTTGACCCGTCTAACCCACGAACCTAGCTCGACCCACCCATGACCCGTCTAACCCACAAACCCAGCTCGACCCACCCACGATCCGTCTAACCCACAAACCCAGCTCGACCCACCCACGACTCGTCTAACCCACGAACCTAACCCTGGTGTGTCCAACTTCTCCGACCCAACCCACGACCCGGCCCACCCTACCCTACGTGTGTCGTGCCGTGTGTCATGAAACCCCAACCCGCGACCCACCTAACCCTAACCCAGCTCGCACGACTCGCACAGTGGACACCTCTAACCCTAACCCATTTTTCTTTCAACCGATGCTGCCAATATTGGAAATCCAACTTTCTCTTAGGGATATTGTTATTTACCCCCTTTACGTAGTCTTCCCCTTCCTCAATTGTTGATATTGCATCTCCTTGGCCGCTTAAATTATTCGTAATGCTGCTCCAATTAGCACCCCAAAAAGTTCGATTATCCAAGCACCATTTTTGAGCTCTAGCTCAAAAACAATCAAGGTTTTTAGCCAAGATAAACATACTAGAACCATTCATGGAACTAGCCCATATATCGGTAGCCAAACCTTTGATAGCGCTATACCGCAAGCACCACCTTTTAAGCTGATAAGGTCGGTTAGATTGATGCAAAGAGGGATCTGAGTCATAAAGAATTGCTGCATGATCCGATACTACTATCGGTTCATGAAAAATTCGACCTTTCGGAAAATGCACAACCCATTGATCCGTACAAAAAGCTTTATCTAAAAGCTCCATAATGAGACCATTCTCCAATTGTTTGTTAGTCTAAGTGAAACGAGGCGCAGAGAAAGGAACATTAATCACACCATTATTTAAGCGCCAATAAACAAAGGCATCTAGCCCTTTTATCACTAATGAACCCCCTAACTTGTCTTGCAAAGAATCGACTTGATTAAAATCCCCAATCAAGAGACAATTAGGAGTTATGGAAAGAAGAGTAGTAATTTCATTCCATACTCTAGTACTATCTTCTACTTTAGGCTCACCATAAACAAACATCACATTTCTATTACTTCCATTACCGTCATCGAGGGTTACACAAAATGTAGTTCGGATGGAGTAGAAATAACACAAGTACCAACCCCTTGATACTAACTAAAAACCGCTAGACCTCCCCTTGTAACATCCGCGTCCACTCTATAAGAAAAATTTGGAGTGAGCGGATCAAATAAAAGTTTACATCAACAAAAGGCATTTTAGTTTCGGATAAAAACAAGAACATAGGAAACTTAGAAGAAATAAATTAGCACACTAAATATGGATGTGTAGGGGGTTAGTGTGTCATTAAGACCCTTAAAATTCCATGAGATGATCTTCATATATCCATCGAGAGCTGATCCGGTGCAGCCACCACACCAAAACTCTCACCCATGGATCTCTAAATAGCTTGTTGAACCTCAACTTCCATGTTATCATCTTCTTGTTGTTTTCAGTTCACGTCCTCTTCCTTTCTCTTCTTAGAGGGACTTGAGAAGGAGGAGGAAGATGAGTATTGAATTCTCTTTTTCAATTCCTCTTGTTCCTATTTTCCTTTCGAAGCCGCGAGATGCACACCTTCACCCCCTAATGCCTAGCCATGACAACATCGGATATTGCCTTTGATTTAACTCGAACCCCATATCTTTATCACGTTGCCATAAACTGAACCCACCCTTCTCAAACCACCGATCAAGAGTCTTTCTCCTCTTTTTAGCAACCCAGTCAAGAGTAAAAGCACACTTACGAACATAACCATCATCACAAGACAGAGCTTCATAATGTATCTCATCTTGAACCCTTTTGCGCAGCCAAAACTGAACAATATCCAATTTAGTAGAAACATCGTTACCCCCATGGAATTTGGCTGAGACAGGGGAATTAGGAGGGTCAAATTCCATCATTGGCATCATTGGAAAAATTGGCTCAAAAAACGGAGAGGTGTCTTAAATTGGTTCTGGAAAAACCCGAGAAGACGCATGACCATTGCGAAGAGAGTGAACAAGGCTCCTCCTTACCTCAATTATATTCAGAGCGTTAGGAAAAACAGAGAAGGAAGAGGGAGATAATCGTTTTACCCTCAGCGCTGGTGGAGAAATCGCCATCATTGATTCGCCGTAGCATTGGATGTCGTTGTCGAAGCTGAAATACCCAAGTTAAGAATATCCTGTAGCAAACCAGTTTGAGCCGATTGATTTAAGTGATTAAATGGAAGAGTGACCCACTCATCAGTGGCCAAGGTATTAAACAACGTGGGCCAAAATAATTCTTGGTGACCCGCTGCATTCGAGGATTCACCAATCTCAAAGATGGAGTTCCCAATATGTGGCCTTGAAGATTCGCCCACCTCAAAGGTGGAGTTCATAAAACGGGGCCTTATGAATGGTGGAGAATCTAGGTCACACCCAACCAGTGACGGACCTGGGCTTGTGCCTGGTGGGTCAAGTGACTCACCAGGGCCCAAAAAAAATTTTAAGTTTTTTTTTTTTTTTTTTAAAATAAAAAATAAAAAATACTAACGTCTGAAAATCCGTCCCTCAAGTTCGCATCTTCCTCTTCGCCTCTTCCTCAGACCTCAGTTCCTCTTCGCTAGTTCGCTTCATCTTCCTCTTCGCATAATTTCAGGTTAGTCATCTACTCATCTACTCATCTTTCAACTTTTTTTTATTTATTTATTTAATTGTTGATATTACTTGTTAGTTGTTAGTTATGAATTATGATTTAGTAATACTAAATTTGAACCCTAAATCCCTAATTGTTCAATAATCAACTCAATTCCAGAGAATTTTGCATTATCTGAATTGTGAATTTGTGAAATGTTTGAACCCTAAATCCCTAATTGTGAATTTGTGAAATGTAAAATGTTAGTTATCAACTCAATCCCTAATTGACTAATTGTTCATAATCTACTGCTCTTCGCTAGTTTGCTCACGCCTCCAGTGCTGGCTGTGCTACTGGCCTGCTGGCTGCTGCTCGCCTAGTCGACTGCTCCAGCCTCCAGTGCTCTGTGCAGCTGTGCTCTATCCTCTGCTGCTCGCCTAGTCGCCTGCTCCAGTGCCTAGTCGCTGACTTGCTGTCTTGCTGAGTGTTGGGCATGGCCCTGCTGCAGTGCTGCTCCGCCTGCTCCGCTGCTCGCCTCAATCATTCAGCGCCTGCCGCCTGCCGCCTCCGCCTAGCAAGGTAGGTAATCATCAATTGATTCTTTTTTTTTTTTTGTGAATTTTTTATCAAATTTGCATTACTTGTCTCTTAAAATTAGTATATACGGTGAATGTTCATTGAATTTGCATTATTTGTGCAAATTGTGTTTTGACTGTTAAATTGAACTTATTAGTTTATCTGTTTATGTCATTATGTGAAATTGTGAATATGTGATGTCGGACATTGTATAAGACAACAATTAAACTATTAGTGTAAGGAGGATTATAAATTTATAATTAGATTACAGTTTGGACTGGTTAGTGCTTAGTGGTGCTAGTCGCATATTCGGCTGGAAGTTCCGTATAGACTAGTGGAGATATTAGTTTGTTGATTTTAGTCTTGTCAATTTTAAGCTTTTTAATTATTAGTTAGTATTGTAATCTTGTCAATTTTCTATTTGGATGATCTTTGTAAATAATTTTTCTGGGGAATATTGCTTGATTTAGTTGAATATTGCTTGATTTAGTTGAATATGAACCGTCCAACCAATTATGAATAGGGGTAATTCGATGTTGGGGTTATTTGCATATGATTCATACTTGTGATTTCATTTGTTTTGTTAACTTTGTGTTTGATTAGGTTGTTGAATTTATATGCAGGGAAGACTCAGCTTATCAATCATTTTCTAATCAACAAGAGTTGGTATATTGTTAATTTGCCTGGATATGGGTGAGTCTCTGTAATTTTGGTTTTAATTTGGGCAATTTCTGTAATTCTTGAGTCTATTTCATGCTGGGAATATTGTATACTTGTATTGTGAATCAATTGTTATTCGTGTTTATTCCTGATCATATGCTTGAATCATATTGAAGTGCCGAAAAAGGATTGCTTTTACGCCTTGAGGCATTGCTTCAAAATTATTGATCATCCTGTAAAACATGTTGCGGACTGATATGTATTTAGGCTACATCCGTTGTAGTTAATTTGGTCTCCAATCGTGTTGTTTATTTTCAAGTTTAGGAAGTAAATGTCTCCTTACATGTCATTGTGAAATTTTATTTTACATATTTGATTATCGATTGTGACTCACCAGTCGGAAATTCCTGGGTCCGCCACTGTATGCCTTCCACGACATTGTTTAATAGGGTTAAGCAGCGCTAAAGCGGAAGAAGATCATAACCCTCAAGAATGATAATGGTGAGTGGATTAGTGGCCAGGATGATATTTAGACTCAAAATCAAGATTCTCTTAAAAAAAATTTATTTCAAGATTAGGGACTAGTAGTCCAGTTGATGATGATATTGATCTATTATTTCGAGAGATGGGTTTTCCAAAATTGGCAGAATCGGAGGCGACGACTTTGATTAGGCCCTTTACAAGCCAAGAAACACTACTACAAAAAGAGGAATACACGTCGCCTCAAATAGGGTATATAGAGCGCCTCTAAGGCGCTCCTTTGAGGGGGTTCCATATAAAGTCTACAGAACACCTATTTGAGGCGATCTATATCTAATACAATATAGAGCGCCTATCTAAGATAACAACTCTCTATTCCATGTATAAAACAAATAAAAACAAGGAAAATCGAGCGGTTTTCTAAGGATAGGCGCTCTGTAGTTACGTAGAGAGAGAACGCCTATCATAGATAGGCGCTCCCTTTCCTTACTAATTTTTTTTAAAAAACAAAGCGATTTTATTATTATTATTTAAATAATAATAATAATAATAATTCGTACATAATTAATTAATAAAACAACATAATGAAATACTAATAACAATTGATTAATAAAAAAATTATAAGTACAAGATTACAAGTATTTTGATTACAATAACTAATTTAGGAAAAAAAATTATATTTCTATTACAAGTTTAGACAACAACCAGAAAAAAACAACCACCACTGTCACCAACACCAAACGTCAAAACGACAGCAACACCTCTACTCAGCGTTCTAATTTCTTCAACAACGATTTAGACAACCACCACTGCAATCACAAGCCGCAAGCCCGCAACACACACCTCTGCTCACCCACGCTCCCATATCAACCACCCACAAATTAACACTACAACAACATGCAACACTACAAAAAAAAGATGCATAATTATTGTTATTGTTAGTACTCCAATATAATTAAAAAAAAAAAGAATTAAAGCAGATCTAAAGATGAAAAATTAAAAAATTGGGATTTAAAATCAATTATTGAGAATTAAAACGGAATGTTAAAATGAAGATCTAAAAAATGAACAAAAACTTTTGTATACACCCGGTTTACACTAATTTTACTATACATCGAGCAGGATAAGGGTAACTTTTACCTAATTTTAGGGTAACTTTTTGCCTTTTTTTGGATAACTTTTAACATAATACAATTTTTATATAAATAGACAATAAGAAAAGTTTTATAATTGTAATTTAATTACATTTAATCACTAATAATTAATTTTTAGTTAGTTAAGATGTGATTCTTTACTAATAATTTTTATTTGTATTGGATTACTTTTATGCATATTAGGGTAACTTTTAATCAATCTAGTCTATCTTTATAGTGGATGTACAATAATTATTGTACACCCGATTTTTTTTAAAGTTTGTAAAAAATAAATTAGACAAAAATCTAAAACTTTGGATAAAAAAAGAGAAAATCGGAAATTATAACATGAAACTTAATTGATTGATATAAGATAAAAAATCATAAATTATAACATTAAAACCAAATACCCACTAAGCAACCGCACCAAACACCCACAAATCTAAAATAATTGAGTAAAAAACGAAATTTTAAAATGAAAATTAAAGAAGGAAAAAAAATCATATCAATCACTTTAAAATAACCAAAAACTGAATCTGAACATTGAAAGCTTCAAACTAAAAAGCGAATTTGGACATTGAAATTTGAACACAAAAGAAATTAATCTTTATATACCTCGGTCGACGGCTATAGTTCGTGGAAGGATTCACATCAACCCACTGCGGACAAACTGAGACAATGCATGTGCTATTAATCTTGATCGAAGCAGAGACAAATGAGGGGTGATTGAAGGGCTCTTGGGGTGATTCAAGGGGCTGTAATGGTGAACAAGTTGAAGCCTCGGAGGTCGTATAATTGAGGGATGATGTTAGAAGAGAGAGGAGAAGTAAGAGATTTAGAGAGTGATGGCTAGCAAAATGAGTTAAGGTTAGTGCGTGTGTTAGTAGTGCTTATCTTATATGAAGTGTTTTCCTTTTGTTTTAATTTTTTTAAAAGTTTTTTATAATACTTATAGATCGGTTATCTATGAGAGGAGCTCTATAATGAATGGTGTAAATTTTGGGTATATGAAACGGAGCGGTTAACCTTGGCATGCGTTCTATAGGTTCTAACATACAAAGCGCTTATCTTACATAGGCGCTCTGTAAAATTCTAGAGATCGCCTATGTAACTTGACAGTTGTGTATCGTGTGTTACTTATTCTCATTTTTGTGGTAGTGAAATTAGTTAGCGATGTTTTCTTTTCATCATCTAAAGTCTCCTGGGCTGAATGGGATCATAGTTGAATTTTTCATGTTCACTGGGAGTTAGTAGGAAGTTCAGTGGTAGCGGTTGTTCATCAGTTCTTTAGAATTGGTTTTCTGTTTAAGGAATTTAATTCTTCTCTCCTAGTTATGTTGCCAAAAGTCGATTGTCCGGAGGTAGTAGCGCATTTTTGACCTATTAGTCTATGCAACACTATTTATAAATACATTACGAAATGTATGGCGAATAGGATGAAATGGTCTCTTCTTCCGTCTATGATTACGGAATTCCAGCATGCTTTTGTTTTGGGTTGATATATGGAAGACAACATTTTTCTCATCCACAAGCTAACTCATGTTGTTTCTAGCACAAAAATTAAGGCCCCGATGGCTGCTTTGAAGATTGACATGTCCAAGGCCTATGATCTGGTTAATTGGATTTTTTTTTCTAAAAATCTTGAAGGCTAATGGGTTTTCGGACCAGTGGGTACAGTGGGTGGAGAAATGTATTTACTATTGTCTCTTATAAGTCTTTATTGAATGGAAGGGTTACAGAGTCTTTTAAGCCCGAATGCGGCCCTCGGCAGGGGGATCCTCTTTCACCTTACCTTTTCCTTTTCTGCATGGATATCCTGTCTAGGATGCTACTGCTTGCGGAAGACATTAACTTGATCAAAGGGATAAGGGTTATAAGATGATCACCTTCCATTTCCCATCTTTTCTTTGCAGATGATGCAATGATTTTCTTCAAAGCCACTTCTCCCTCTCTTGTGGGCACTTAGCTAATTTGCTAAGGCAATTTGAAAAGGTTTCGGGACAACAACTTAATCTCCAAAAATCTTTTATAAGATCCAGCCTATAAATGACAGTTCAGGATTCACAATGTTTTAAGGGCATCTTAAGAATGGATTAGAAGGAAAATTTAGGGATTCATCTAGGGGCTCCCATTGATTTCACTATTAAAAGGGCGGATAACTTTCGGCTTCTGGTGGATAAGGTTGCCAACAAAATTATGTGATGGAGCTTGGTGAGGCTTTCTCAGTCGGCCAAGCTCGTGTTAATTAACTCTATCCTCATTAGTATCTCTTCCCATGTGATGAAATGTTTTAAGTTACCTATCTCTACGGCAAATGCTATTGACTCCGTCATCGCAAGGTTCTTTTGGGCCTATGATGAGTGTCATTTTTGTCACTCCTTTGATCCTCCTTAGGGTGAAATTCATGCTATTTTATAGCTATTTTCTTTAGTTTTCCCTTAGTTTTACTCTTTATTTCTTCAGTTTGCATTTTCTTGGTTGATTTTCTATTTTTATGCATTTCTTGGTTTATTTCGCTATTTTCTCTTTTATTTGTTTGTTTTTGTTCATTTTTCAGGTTAAAATCATAATCTGAGGATTCTCGAGTCTCCTTCCCAAGTTCTACATCGTTTGAGATGCCTCTTGCCTACCATTTGAAGTTCAAGTTTGAAGGTGTGTAAAGTCCAAATCTTCTAGCTAGTGCATTCAAGCGGTGGGGGCACCATTCTTGGTGTTGAACCTACCGTGGAAGCTATTTGAAGGCTGCCACCTTACGTGTTCATCAGCATCATCAACTGGAGCGCACGACGAAAAGCAAAGTCGAGGGTGAAGGAGGTTGCCCTGCTCCCAGGCGCGGGCGCACGCGACCATGGCGCGGGCGCGCCTATTTGGGTCTTTGTTCCATAATCAGTTTTGCGCGGCCGCGCTCCCTCTTGAAGATGGTCGCGCCTATACGGGTCTATTTTGAACGATCTAACTAATTTCTCTTTGTTAGTTTTACTATATATAGACTTTCCTTCTATTTTTAGAGGGAGAATAGATTAGAGAATTAAATTAGAGATAGTTTTAGAGAGAGAAACTCTAGGTTGTAGAGAGAGAAGTTCATGGTTGATGATTGATGATCCTAAGTAAAATTTCTATTGATTTCACCAAAGTTTGTAAGGATTTCTTTTACTTTAATGCAATCTTAGATTTTGATTTCAATTGTTTTGTTGATTGTTCAAGTTTGATTGATTTGTGATTGATTTAGTTTGATTAATATGATGATGATGAATTTGTTGTTTAGCTTAGTTTTGATCTTGATTTCCACGGATTGTGAGTAGTTTTCTTGCTAGGGGAATGGTGAAGCATATATGAGTAATGGATTGATGCTAATTTGGGGAAATTGATAGAGTTGATGTAGTGATCAAATTGGTTGATAGAGTAGCTAACTTTGATTGTTGCACTAGATTGCATTGTAAGTTCACATTGATACGGACAATTGATTTGTGGCTTGCATTTGTCGATTGAGTTGGTTTGTGAAGTTCCTAGCTAGAGTCTCTCATAGTTGACGCTAGTTTGACCTCTAGGAGAATAGTTTATCATACTCTCTTGATTGCTTAATTGATTTTCCCTCGCAACACTCGACTAAGTCAATTCCAATCCTAATTAGTTGTATCCATTGCATGTATATGTGGATTCTAAACTCTAGTGTTTGATATATTTGGTTTTAATCTCGTTTTCTTAGTTGTTTTAGAGTACACACACCTTACTTT